TCGAGTTTGAAGCGAAAAAGGAGGTTTTGTACCTTGTTCATCACAGACTCGCAGGATCTCACCAAGATAATCGCAACCCCGAAGGATAGGCCATGTTTCCAAACTGAGTTGTTGGTATTAGCGGAATTGCGGAATTCGTTTCTGGAATTCGAGCTGGTCTACCAACCAAGAGAGGATAACGTGAAAGTTGATATGCTCGCACGAAACGCTAGAGAATGCAACACTGTTTTTAATTTCATTGGCACTTGTATTCCATTTTGGTTTGTAAATGCAAATCATGTATTTACTTAGCTAAATGACGAAGTGTGTTGTGACAAAAAAAAAAGACATATATTTTTAATTGAAATGGTTTGATTGGTTAAGTCAAATGTGTCCCTTAATTTTTTATTGATTGAAAACTTATGATTTTTTTTTTTGAGAATCTTTTGAAATGCCATTTTTGAAGTGCCACTTTTCAAACTCTTTGCAAAAATACCACTTTTTCAAAATTATTTACTCATTATATGATTTATGTTTGAATTAATTATGTTGTATTAGAGTTTAGTTTTAATGGTTTTGGATTTGTTAAGGATCAAAATATTTTTTTGGGTTTAAAATTTTAAGATTTAGATTCTTAAAATCCATAATTAGTGATATTTTTTAAAATAAACATACCAAAAATGATATTTTTGCAATTATCTTTTTTTCTTTATGTCTTTTCATTTTATATATAGAGAGTTTTATTAGCTTATTAGATACAGACGAATTATCACAATTATATCTTCAAATCTACACAATGCTAACTACAAAAGTATATTGCAATTCGGGCAACTCTCATGCATTGCTCATTCTATATTTTATGAGTGTAGATATACATTACATACACTAACCAGAACGAGATAAGACTAACAAAAGGAGAGAGAATTTGGCGATTGCATCGAGCCCTGAGCCAAAACCTAATTTCTCCTTCACCGCCGGCATTGGCCCTGGCCTCCGGCGCCGGCTCCGCTCTTATGGCCAAGAAAACGCTAATCCCCTTGAAGCACTCTCCTTCTCCGTCTCACTCTCCACCGATTCGGCCTCTTCTAGTCAGGGTTGAGAGGTGGGTCGTTCTTCCTCCTTCCGA